TCCTGGCCGCCGTCAGGGGCGGGGAGGAGGTGAAGCGGGTCCGCGAGGGCAACGTCCTCAACGCCAAGGCGAAGGGGAAGACGCGGGAGGGGGCCGAGGAGCAGCTGACGAGCGGCGACCTCCTCTCCAACCGCAGGATGTTCTACCTGCTGAAGGGCGCCTTCCCTGCCGTGCAGGTGGGTGCCGGGTCCCCGCCAACCCCTCACCCCGGCGGGAAGCTCCAGGCCTCGGGTGCCGGTTACCGGCCGTGTGAGGAGCCCCGAGGGCTCGGCCGGTCGCGGGGAGACACGTGTCGCCCCGCCGTTTTGTAACCGCCGAGGGGAAGTGCTGCTGCCCCCGTTTTGCATTTTTCATTCCCCTCATGCTGATCTTGTGGCGGTGCCGCCTCGTACTCGCTGCCGTGGGTTGCAGGGGAAGGGGTTGGGTCGCGGGCCGGCGAAGCCATGGGGGGTGAAACAAGGCGTTTGAAATAATATAGACGCGAGGGGGGAAAATCACCGAGTCTAACCCTTGTGGATTATGTGCTCTCTGGTTAAGGATAAAGGTGACTTGATGGCATTAATTCTGCGTACCTTAACGGCGCTGAGATTAGCAGTGCTGTTATTTTCTTAACTATCCTTCCTGACAGTTGTCCTGCCCTAAGTTATAGGGAGAGCCAGGAACGGAGAGAAGGGATTGAGAATTTGAGGATTAGGAACACAGTGTCACAATATCTGAAGTTTTAGCCCTTGTGACTTTGGGACATCATTTAAACTAACAGCTGTGTCACGCTGTTGATCACTGCCTACATGGGAAAAATGAATTTTCTTTGAGGCATACACCCTTCTCTACCCTTATTTGCTTCCAAAATCTGGGTCTAACACTTCAGGTTGCAACTTTTTTGCATCTTGTTGGCTTTTTTTCCATTTTCACTTTAGTAAATGGGAACTTCTCTTCAGTCTCCTGCTGTTAAATGCCTTAGCTTTTTACAGTCATTTCAAACAGACAGAAAACCCTATTTGATTTCAGAGGTGGTGATTGCATGCTTTTCCAGGACAGGGTGAGAGAAAAAGTAGTGTGATTTAGTTACTACCCATTACGTTTTCAGTGGCTGTTTTGGAAGTTCCTCGGGGTGATGTGTGGTTTTATGTTTTGGTTTGTGGTTTGTTTTTTTTTTTTTTTTAAAAAAAAGTGTTGAAGAGAACCCATTCAATAGTAAATCTAAAGGAAACACGAAATTCTTCAATATTTGAAATAAATTGGGTACTTGATTAATCTTCCTCTACAGAAGGATTATGAAGGCTGTGTTCTGAAGATTGCTGGATTGTCTGTCAATGGCAAGCCACCTTCACAGGCCTTACGTCAAAGGAAGAAAAAGTATTGTCCCCTATTCTCTTCTGCTATGCAGTGTCCTCACAGAGCTTGGCATTACAGCATGCCTGTATCACAGTCTGAAACCAGTACGCTTTCTCCCCTTCTACAAATGGAGTGACTTCATTAGTTTAGATATAACGGTTCTCCGTGCTTTTAGAGAAGGCTGGGGGTTTGGTTTGGACTTGCAGAGCTCGGTGAACTTCATTGCCTGTTCCATGTCTGTGGTCAAGTGTGTAAACTCTGCTCCAGTGCCTGGGATTCATAGCGGTGACAGTCTGGCTTGTGTGTCTTTCTCTCAGAGGGCGTTAACTTTGAACATCTTTTAAAAACTGGTACTCCTTTTTATTTCCCTTACAGTTGACTTGAGGTGCTAGTTTTTAAAAGTAGATGGTACTTTGTGTTCTCAAACACAGTATGAAGACAAAAAGTGCATGTACATCTGTGGAACTGTAAAACATCAGGCATATGTGTCTTGCTCTCTTTCGATCTCTCTCTTCCTCTTAGATTGACTGAGCTTGAGCATTGACTATGTCTAGGAAGAGTCTGACAAATCTTTCAGCTGATCTAATCAATCTGACAGATCAGCTCTGGGATATTTAGTATTCTGAATACATGAGCTGGATAATAACAGCTTATCTCATGTGGGCTTTAAAAAACATCCACTAAGCTGTATATACTGATGTGCTGTCTCTTAAAGTCTATACAGTGATGAAGATGTATTCATAAACAGTTGTCCAAACCAAAATAAAAACTTGGTTTTACTATATACATGTGGCACTATACACTTCTCAGAAATCTGCAAGTCCTTCATGTGTACCTTCAGCACAAACTATCTAAAACTGCTGCTGTTTCATAGAACAGACCTGCTGCAGTTTTGGTGTGACTGTGAGGATTATAGAGGATTTCCTGAGACACCTTTCATGTGAGGCAGTATAAAACTGCTTTTTGTAAGCAGCATTGTACTTTATACCTGTAGCATTATGCCTGTGTACAGAGTGATGCTCCAGCATAAAAAACACTGCTGAAGTTGAGTAAAACTCCTCTTATTGTTAAAGATGCTGCTAACAAAAGCTGTCAAAGAAAAACTGAAAGAACTCGAAGAGTAAATTTAGGTGCAACGCTGATTTACTTGCATTGTGGAGTCCTCGAGCCTAACAGGGGTACCTCAACATTTAAATTGGTGCCAAATGCTGCAGCCAAGAAAAAAAATACCAGCACAAAACCTGGGTGCCAAAATATGCTTATAATGCAAAGGAAATGATACATTAATTATCCTCTAAGAATAGCTATGGCTTTCCAATGTTTAAAAATAACCAGAGGGAGAAGTCATTTGACTGAAATAAGCTTAAGTCAGTGAGCAGCCTTGAATTCCCTTTATTGTACTGCTGGACATAATAAGGGGAAGCATGCAAACAGTCCATCTGAAGCAGATCTCTTAAGGTGTGATTAATAAGAGAAGATGGAAGAGTTAGGCTTCTCATTTGCAGAAGCTGAAATAAATCTGGAAAGAGTCTTACAAGCCTGACAGTTGCGACTTATAAAAAAGCTTCCAAAATCTGAGGAAAGTAAGAGGAAAAAAAACCTAACGTAGAAAGTGTTTTCCCTTGTCCTTTAAATAAAGCTATCATCTCTACAGAGAAAGAGGAACTCCACTGCTTACATCACCTGCCCTATTTGATATAAATAGATGCATTTGCATCAGTTCAAGACTTCTCACAGCTAGGTTAGGTAAGACTGAAGAAAAGCAGATCAAAATCTGTAGTAGATTGTATGGTGTTGAGTATTGTTGTTATATGCCTCAGAAATAGGTGTGAGAAAGATGAGGGAGGAAGGGGCAAGTCAGTTATTTTTAACTCGGGTATTACCCAGTATTGTTTGATCGCACTAAACATCCAGCAATCGATATTTGCACGCATCTTCTATGAAGTATGTTTGTGCAGTTGATTATTTTAAAATACATTTAATGCTAAAATATGTGCAGTGGTTTCTCTTGAAAAAGTTATCAACTGTGGTTACAGGCTTGAGGTATTTACTGCTCCTATGCTACTGATGTGGTGTTTTCCTTCTCTCTTTGTCATGCTGAGAACAGCTCTGATCCAGAAATAATCATCCTCTCTGCTATTTTTCATTTCTAAAAATTTATTTATCTTTTCTTCGTTACTTCACTGCATTTCTGGTTGGTTCTCCATGCAGCCCCATTTATTCCTTGTGCTAGCACAGTAGTGCAATAAGGAGGACTGTGATGGGAATCAGGTGAGGGGATTAAGGAGATGCTTGAGCCAACCCTGCTGCTGGGAGGAGAGGGCACTGGGGAAATGGTGTTTCCAAATCCAGTTAGAGAATGGCTAGAAACACTTCCTTTGGTCGGTTGGGGTCAACTGTCCTAGCTGTGTCCCCTCACAACTTCTTGTGCACTCCCAGTCTACTCACTGGTGGGGGTCTTGTGAGAAGCAGAAAAGGCCTTGACTCTGTGTAAGCACTGCTCAGCAGTGACTAAAACATCATTGTGCCGTCATCACTGTTTCCAGCACAGGTCCAAAATGTTCCCCCGTACTAGCTACTGTAAAGAAACTCTACCCCAGCCAAAACCAGGGCATGGTCTTGCAACTTCCCTGAATCTGAACATTCTTTTTCTTCCAAGTTAAGACAGATGATAAATACCTCATTTCAAGCTTGTACATGAAAATGCTGGACTCAGGCATCAGTGTTTGAAATGGAAATTTAAGAACATGGCAGTTTTACTTTTAATGAGATATTCTTCTAAATCAATCCCACTTTTTGAAGATTAGTCTCCAAGCACTCCTTTTTTATCAAGATACCTGAAGTACTTCCTAGGTTTAAACCTGCTGTTTACAGGCTTCCGACCACAGTGCCGACTATCGTACTTAGAAAAGTAGAATTTCATCTGAGATGGAAAGCTCTGCATCTGTTAACAATTCTGTGTGAAAGATAGGTGTGTTAAAGAAGTAGGTTTAAAAACCAAAGTGCTACTTAAACTTCAGAAGGATTTCAGTGCTTTGTTGAATAATTTCAGTAATTTCTTTGTCTCTTCATGTTGCGAGAATGGCATCCTCAGGTTTTAGGGTTTTTAGCAAAATGGATGTTCTTCTGACCTGGATGATCTTAGCAACTGCCAATAGGTTTCTAAGTAAAGCTGGAAGTATAAAGGGTAATCGGAAATCTCAGTAACAGGTGTTGACTGGAGATGCATCTCTTGACGTGTTTTAATTGATACTAGATAACTTTGCTGGATTTGTGTGTGTGGTGGGGGTTTTGGTAGTGGGGGAGGGGGGCTACAGCAGTGGCTCCTGTGAGAAGCTTCTTCAAGATTCCCTGGCTCCCAGTCAGATCCGTCTCTGGCCAAGGCTGAGCCAATTAATGACAGTGTGATAATGTATTTAAGAAGAGGAACCTGTGAGTAGGACACTTATGAGAACACTGAGGTCAGTGTAAGAGAAGGAGGAGTGGGAGGCGCGCTGGAGCGGAGACTCCCCTGCAGCCTGGGGTGAGAGCACAGGTTATCCCCCTGCAGCCCATGAAGGTCCGTGGTGGAGCAGATGCCCACCTGCAGCCTTTAGAGGACTCCATGCCAGAGCAGGTGACTGCATCTGAAGGAGGCCAGGACTCTGAGGGAAGAAGCCCCTGCTGTTGTGGTTCGGTGCTGGGAGGACTGCAGTGTGCGTGAGGGATCCATGCTGGAGCATCTTGGAAAGGATGTATGCCATGGGAAGGACAAGTCAGAGAAAGTTTGTGGAGGACTGTCTTCTGTGAGAGGGATGCTATGCTGGAGCAGGGGAAGAGTGTAATGAGTCTTCCCCCCGAG